AGCCACGCCTCTTCAAGTCTTCCACTTGGCGACTGATTTCTTGTTGGTTAACCACGGGATGCTTCCTAGGTTTTTGTTTTACTGGTCTAGCGCCACCAGTGCCGATGCTGTGCTTAACTATATCAGTTCTGCCTATATCGTCGTCTCCTTTTGAAAACACATCCGGATACTCAATCAGACACCCTCTCAATTTTGCATAATCATGTGGGGCCAAATTCCTTCGACTTCGGTCGTATAATTTGGTCAAATGGTTGGGTAGCGCCCCCTCGTGTCCCGCAACCTTGTCTGGCGTGGGCGGCCGGGAGTTTCCACCTCCGCTGGTGTTATTGTTGCAGCTATCGTTCCCGCACGCAGGACACGTTTCTCCTTATTTGGGTTCAATACTCGAATGGGCACCACTTCGGCTGGCACATCAACCACAGACTTGGCCATTACTAGGCCCTTTTCAGCAATTCGGCCACCTGACCCAACTGGTTCCATGATCATACTTCCAGTCAACTCCTCATACTGACAAACAACCGTTCCGGGAACAATGGTCTCATGCCCAGCCGGTATCTCTGTAGTCCTTGTCACTACTACCCTGCCGACATATGGCGCACCGGCAGCACTCGTACACTTAATTCGTTCGCCATTGACACATAACTCAAGTCTACTGAAATCAAGAGTACCACCTGTAGACAACAACCAGTCCATTCCCAACATAGCTGGTGTTCCAATATCTGCAAAGTCGGCTTTGATCGGGTGCACAGTCTTCCCAATTCGTAAATCTAACCATGCAGTCCCATATACTTTCAACGGGGTACCATCCACCTGCCGGACTCCGGTATCACACTCTTGCAGAGTCGGCCTCTGTTCCTTCGGTAGCTGGTGATATACTGTCATTTTAATCAACGTGTCGGTAGTGCCAGTATCGATTAATATTCGAAACTCGGTTGATCTAATCGACCCCTTAACAAATAAGCCATGGTGTGGCCCCATTGCTGGAGTCATTACCGTACTGACTCCAACCTCGTTCTCGTTCTTTCTCTTCAAACTCCGTCGACCTTCTTCTGTGGGTCCTCTGCATTCCTCAGCCTTTCCGCGGACCCTCCGGTGGCTGGTTCTCGTTTCCTGGTTACGGAGACGCTTTCTTTTTGGCTGTGTACATTCTCTAGCAAAGTGTCCCTTTACACCACAATTATGACAATTCAATTCCGCCTTCGGCCTCCGCAGAGGAGGCGGGGTACCCGGCACCTGTTGGTCTGACGTAGCTGGTGACGTCACTGGCTGTGACAACATGGCCCCCATCAATTTCTCCAACTGCTTCGTCATGTCGGATACACCCTTTGTGGCTCGTTCGACAGACTGCATTCTTTCTTCAATGGGTTATCGATAATGATTTTTCTCCAGTCACTCTCTCGCCTCTTCGGGAATTTCCGGATACGCCTTCACTGCTAACTCATGTACTGCCTGACACAGTTCTTGCAAAGACTCCTTCGGCTTCTGCTGACGATGACGTAACTCTACTAGAAAATTCTCAGCCTGCTGGCTAGGCCCAAACCTCCTAGCCAACAACTTAACTAACTCTTCATACTTCAACTTCCGGCCCTGGGGGGCACCCTCTCCAAGAATGCGAATTGCATCTCCTTGGAGGCTCGCGGCCAAATACTCGGCCGATTGTAAATCGTCCCAAGAGTTCACCAACCGACAACTCTCGAAGTGCCCGTAGTACTCGTTCCACGGCACTTTGCCACTGTAGCGGTCGGGAACAATACTTGGTCGGCGGGGAACCAGACTAAGCCTTTCCCGCAACTCATCTTCTCCAACAACTTTCTCCTCCCTTTTAACTGGACATCCATCTCATCAGCCCGCACGTTGTCTGTCTTAACACTTGGCGAACGTGTGGCAAAACTCAGCAGCTCGCTGTAGGGCTTCTTCTCCGCATCAGGTGCAGTTGGCATGTGAACACATGGACTCTCGTTCACACCCCTTCCATGTACCGCAGAGACTATCGGACTGGAAGCCGCCTCTTGCCTTGGAGGCATCCAATCAATTAAACTGCGCCCACCATCGTCTTCCTTGCAATGGACTTCTGGCGTCTTCAACTCAGTCAGTGCTGGTGCTCTGAACGACCCATACCCTGACGTCTCTTCCCTGTTTCCAGCCAAATCTTGGCCAGGGAGTCGGAATACAACATCCGAATCAATTCTCACGTGCTCAAAGGACTTCTGCACATCACTTGGGCCAGGTCTACCTATCGGGCTCGATCCTGCTTCCTTGGCATCTCGCAATGCTGCTTCTAACTTCATGATTCTGTCCAATTGCTGAGCCTTTTCCCACTGCAACAACTGAACCTCCATCCGGGACCTGTGCAAGTCCCCTTCACTTGAGCTACCACTCATACTGCTGTTTCAACCTCGTACTCAGCCGGCGGATCAAATCTTGCAGACCTCAACCAACGAAAGTACCTCCTATCTCTCCGATGAACAAGCCAGACGTACCAAAAGTAAATGACAGCCAACACAATGCAAACCAAAGCTAACGCAATTGATGCACACAGTAGCTGCTGCATCGACCAATCGAATCACAGGAAACTGGACCTGAAAACTCTCTGTAGACAAAACCTTCGAAGATGATCCCACTTCTGACACCAATTTGTGGCGCCACCCCCTCCGACGAAGGCGAGGGCGCCCTCTTCCTCGAAGCGTGGTGCGTCGGACGGCACGCAAGAGAGTCCCTGAGCGGCTAGGGACGAGTCCGTTGGGACCGAAGTATACCGTCCCCCAAGAAAGTTGGTCTTCGTCGAGATGATGGCTAATCTGATTGGTTGAAACTTAATGACGTAACCTGGACAGACCTGACTTGAAATAAACTTCGCCTGGACTCCTGACTTATATACAACAATTAACAAGCAGCTGGTTTATTCATCAACACACTCAACCAGTAGAGGGCGCTATTGATGAGGAAACTGCGTGATTATACGTGACTGGACTTCGCCCAGAGCAGCGAACACCACAATTAATTGTGGGCATCCAGTGCCGAATCAGGGACTTTAGCAAGTCTACGGGGCTTATTGTCAGGGCTGCGCTACACGCAACTCACGTCACGAGATAGCAATCCACCCTTGCGTCGACCGCAAGCTCCTATCAGGAACTATACCGCACCAAAAATCAGCCCATCAACCTACCGAGCTCCTCAACAGCACACGCACCACTCGGACTTAGGCACAGTCACACTAGGCTAGGTGACTTTAACCCTTGCACAGGATTCTCGACCCTTACCTCAGGATCAGCCCTTTATCAGGACGACTAGTCTTAGCCTACGCGCGCCTTTTATAGCTTTTGCGCTGCTATGACCACGCCCGCGCACGCGCTCACGTGACTAAGCAGTGACTTCCGCTGCCCTATCGCACAACGCACAAGGCGGAGCCTATGCGCCGCGCTTAGTGACTACCGCCCTCTGTCACGTCACAATATGTACAGTAAAGGAGTCCCTCTACTTCCCCATACAGTTAGTCGGGCACTCTTTTTCAGATGATGCCATTTCTGTATTATACATTTACATCTGGGAACCAGACAAATGAGGTGATATTATGTCCTGTGTACATGTACAGGTACAAGCTGAAAAGTGCAGGGGCCAGTCTACTTAAGTGTTGGTAGCGGCTGACATTTCTGTGCATGTAGTCACGATGGACAACGCGCATTATACATGCATTATTTCCAGAAAAAAAATAAGGGTAAAAAAAAAAAAAGAAGCTGTGTCGCCGCACCACTTCTGGAGCCACCTCCAGACCAGAAACCGGAGACTTTTTGGCCTAAGGGCAATTCCACGGTGTCAGACGTACATTTTAGACACTTCAACAGAGTGAATTATGAGACTTATAATCCTCAAGCAGATGTTTGTTTTGATAGGAGGCATCAGGTACTTGTAGTTGGTACTTTGATTTGGTGAAACACCCACTCAGCATTATTACCCTTGTAGAAACTGATTCAAAACACCTTGGTGTCGGATGTTCTCAGAGAAAATTAATTTTTGGAGTTTCCATTTTTGTACCACAAAATCTATGATGTGAGGGGGGGTCATTTGAGCACACTTTGACATTGAAATATTAGCTATAGCTGTAGTCAAACTTTTGGGGTTTTGTATTTTCCAACTTAGATTTTGAGCATCCTACTCTTTTAGGGGAACTTAGATACATGTATTAGTGTCGCTTAGATACGCCTAAGTGCAAGTTATAATTGAGGTCGAAGTAAACATTGGGTGCATGTATATTTACACATTCAAAGTGGGCACACATACATGTATTATTATCACCTAGACGTCGGATGTACCGTACTCATGATTTATGTTTTATTTTGATTTTATTTTAGTCAATCTGTGCCTGTGTCTGTGCATCAAGCTGTATGCATGAACAAGAAGAGAAGCATTAAACATCTGGATCTGAAGTGCACACTGTACATGTACAGCACTGCGCGTGTATCCTTTGGGAGATTCATCATCGACGTTTAGCATCAACATGGATAAGGGGGCGGACGACATAAAAGCACTGGGAGCTACAAGCCATGAGCATGAGAAAGTTGACACACACAGTGGAGACACTGCACTTCATGAATCATCGCGGGCACGAATGCAAACCGAAAAAGGACTTGCCTATGAAAAGGACATGAAAGCAAAGCGTGTGTCACAGCTATTCAGGCAAATAAAGTCAAAAACAGAAAGGCTTGAATTTCTCATGAATGATAGCACGACCAAGGTGAGATTCGAGTTGAATACAAGAACTAGATGACAAACTATGAGGACTTGCTAAAGGAGAACAGTGAGTACTGCAGTCTGCTGTCCATCGAAGAACTGCAGGAGTATTTAAACAACAGTTGGTACAGCAGAGATACCTACTTTAAAAACTTCAAGGTATACTACACCAACTGGGAGATTGTCCAGTCTCACAGAAGGAGCAAGACTACGCAATGCAAAGTCAGCATCATGGTGCCAAGGCAGTGGAAAACATGACAAGCATATCACGCATGACTGGAAGGGGCTCAAAGGCTTCCATTGCTAGCACTGTGTCATCAGCACGACTGAAGGCGATGCAGGAAAAAGCAGCCTTGGAGGTGAGAAGGAAGACACTCAAGAAGAAACAGGCTACCGAAATGGCAAGATTGAAGCTGAAGCTGGAAGAAGAGGAGCTGAATTTGACTACAGAACTGGACACTGTTGAAGCAAAAGAAAGAGCTTTGGACAGTTTTGAGTTCCAATCTAATGCAGGTTCAGTTGTTAAGAATCCAAATTCACTTTAGCAGCTCACTGAGAATACTGTGTCAGCAGCAGTGCAACCGAATAACCGGTCAGATTTAGTAGACTAGACTAATGGGGGTCAGTCTGCACTAAATGTAAATGCTCATTGTTTTGTACCAGAGAGTCATAACCAAAGTAGTAGTAGTGCACAAGTACAAGGTACACAGAGTAGTAATGCTGGTGTACAGTGCAAAAGTCCATCAGTGCCATTACATGCCAGAACATGTAATAACCATTCTGTTTCAGGTGAGAGTGACAAGCACTGTGGCAACAACAGAAGTGAAACTGCCACTTCAGGTGATAACATCCTTCTCTCTGTTGTTCGGCAACTGAAAAGACCCATCCCAGAGATCAAGCGGTTTAGTGGGGATCCAGCTGACTACCGAAAGTTTATCCGGCAGTTCAATACGAAAGTGGCAGTACACACCGAAAATGATGACGAGCGACTGAGCAACTTAGAGCAATTCACTACAGGAGAAGCGAACAGAATTGTCTCAGGTTTCAGCCACCTTCCCTTTGAGCAAGGATATCCAGCAGCTCTGAAGGAGTTGGAGTCAAGAAATGGAGATATGCATCTCATGGCCCACTCCTTCATTAAGAAAGCACTCGATTGGCCATGTGTTCGTCCAGACAACCAAAGCACTTGATGATTTCTCCATCCTGCTGGTAGCCACGATTTTGGTTAGACTTAGCTAAATGCTCATTCAAGAGCTTGGCTACGATATACAGGAAACCTACTACTGGACAGACAGTATGACGGTACTGCGATACCTTGCAAATGAGAGTTTTCGGTTCCAGACTTTTGTAGCTAATCGGCTTGCAATCATCAGAGATACTTCCAACTTGAAGCAGTGGAACTATGTGAATACCAAACTCAACCCTGCCGATTGCGCAACACGAGGTCAGTCAGCGAAGTTGTTTCACTGTTCTATGTGGTTTGAGGGTCCAGCCTTTCTGTCGCAGCTGGAAACAGAATGGCCCCAGCAAGATGCCCATGTGACTCAGCTACCTGATAATGACCCTGGGGTGAAGAAAACCGTACTAATAGCAACAGAGTCACCTACCAGTCCAGTCGACAGACTTCTTGTGCACTATTCGGATTGGAGTAGACTAAAATGAGCAGTTGCTTGGATATTGGTTTGGATGGAGCACCTCCAAGACAAAGTGGCCGCACACAAGAAGTTGAGGCAGAACTTAGAGAAGCAAGAACCGATTCCCTTGTGTAATTCAACAAAGTCTGAATCAAGCCAGGGCAGAGTTGACCAAACTCAGGAGACCAGAGATTCGAGCCATACTCGGCTTACCACAGATAACCCTGAGGCTGCTGAGAGGGTTTTGGCGTACTATGTCCAGCAGAAACACTGGAAGGACGAAATCAAATCGCTCCAACAAGCAGAGGGAAAGCCACTCTCAACAGTAAATAAGTCTTCTTCATTAAGAAAGTTTGATCCGACGCTCGTGGGGGGCCTTCTGTGGGTTGTTGGTCGGCTTTGTAGAGCAGATGTTGAGTTTGAGTCCAAGCACCAGATATTGTTGCCCAGGGACTCGCGTTTGTCCAAATGGATCCTTGAGCACGTACACAAGTCTGTTGGACACTTGGGCCAGAATTCTATCCTAGCAGAGCTTCGCCGACACTACTGGATAATCGGAGCACCATCTATCATCAGTGGTATCGTCTCGAGGTGTGTTATTTGCAGAAGAATCCAGGCCCCAGCTGAGCAGCAGAAAATGGCCAGTTTGCCGCGAAAGCGACTTGCACTGAATGAGTCTCCATTCAGCAGAGTTGGGATGGACTATTTTGGTCCGTTTGAGGTGAAACGTGGTAGAAGTGTCGTTAAGGGATATGAGGTAAAATTCACATGTCTGGCTTCACGCGCTGTCCATCTTGAACTGGGGCACTCACTAGATACGAGTTCCTGTGTCAACTCAGTTCGACGATTTACTGCCAGTTCAGAGCATTCTGTCTGACAACAGAACCAATTTAGTTGGGGCAGAGCGCAAGATGCGTGAGGAGAAAAGTACTTAGAGAAGATCCACGACTACTTGTTGCAGAAAGACATAACCTGGCAGTTTAATCCTCCAACAGGGTCCCATTTTGGAGGAATATGGGAGCGGTTGATTCGAAGTGCCAGGAAGATCCTCTACTCCTTGCTGCGAGAACAGAGAGTCCAACTAAGTAACGAGTCTCTCCAAACTTTATTGTGTGAAGTGGAGACAATCATGAATGGGCGACCACTGACCCAATGTCCTAACAGTCCAGATGACCTACATGTCCTGACTCCGAATCATGTGCTTCTGCAACGGTTGGGCGAGAGTCTGCCTCCTGGTTTGTTTGATGAGTGGGACAAATATTCTGTCAGGCAGTGGCGACAAGTTCAGTACCTCGTAGACATATTTTGGAAGCGATGGTCAAAAGAATCCCTCCTTATCCTTCAGGCAAGGCAAAAGTGGACCCAACCCAGGCGGAATCTGACTGTGGGAGATGTTGTCTTGGTAATGGACACGACTCCAAGAAACTCATGGGCACTTGGGAGAGTACTTTAAGTTGTCAAGGACAAGAAGGGTTTTGTTAGAAGTGCCAAGTTGAAGACAAAAACCTCTATTTTAGTTCGTCCTGTAACAAAGTTGTGTCTCCTATTTGAAAGCAGTACTAAGGAGTTACTTAGGAGTTACCAGTACCTACTCATATTTGTGTGTTGTTACATGTTTTCAGCAGGGCTTATGTTTTAAGGGTGTAATGGAGTTGACCTGATAAGTAACATGAATGGTATTTATGCAGCCAAGCCCTATACTTGTCACCCGTGTCACAAATGCTTCGGACGGAAGTTTAATCTAGAGAGGCACATGGAAAATATCCGTGTTGAGAAAGAATCTCGGATTCTGTTGAGGAAGTCGATGACGAAACCGTTCAGATTTGGAAGACAATTCCGCCAACCAAGATTGGCTGGATGAAGCTAGAAAAACACATAGGGGGACGCGGGATGAGAAGTATGACAAGTACGTCAACGAAGGCATGGATGAAGATCAAGCCAGGCAGAAGGAAAATAGAAAGACCCTCTGGGCAGTCAAACAAGACTTTTTCGACAACTATAAGGTATGGAATTCCATATCTGCCGTCGCCCGTCGTCCGTCGCATTTTGCTTTTTGTTGTGTCCCAATTCTGCCATTTACCACTTCCAAACATGCTTTTTTCCGTCGCGCGTCGTCCGTCGCCCATCAAATGGGTTGCATAGGACCTGCAAAAGCCGGGGTTTAACAAATGACAATGTGATGCTTCCATTCACTTCTAAGGATCTTTTCCCAATGAGATAAGTACAAATTCCACCTGCAGTACTAGTCCCATAATTAATGCCAATAATGTTAGACTACCCCTGCCCCTTGACAAGAAAATGTCGCCTTTCTGAGAATTCAACCACGTGTTTTTTGGGAAAAACATTTTCAGCGAAAATGTTCAGGCCAACTTATCCACAGTTTAATTCTAATTCGCATACTGTAAAAACGTGCCGACTTGTTTTCATCAAATTCTAGAGAGACATCTGCCAACCGACACAGATATTCTGTTCTGTCCTCTCAATTTCACCTTGAAATACAGAAATACTAGACGGTGCTGTGGATAACAAAGTATTTATTAAATGTATTGTTAAGGGGCAAATACCACTTGGCTTAGGTTTTAGAGAATGCGATGTGTTGGTTTTTGTGGGTGTGTATGCCATGGTGGATAGCATTATTTATGGGGCTAACAAGTAACGTTACTGTTTGAATGACTTTTGTGAGCCTACCTGCAACTAATTTAGAGTATACAGCAGATTTCATCATAGGTTTACCCGCCCTCAAAATAATGTTGAATCAGTTCGTCTCTTATGAGAACTATTATTGTAAATAATTTATTATTTACATTCTGTTCTGTGGGATATCGTGCGGGGACAGACAGAAATATTACATAGGCTGTAGACCGAAAGTCAGGCTGTTAAAGAGTAAGGTTACGTCTAGAGTAACTAAGTTATCAAGAAAAACAATCTACCCTAACAAAAAATTATTTTGTTAATTTATTTATGTAACAAAAATGGTATTATTTCATTACACGTTACTTAACCGATGTCAGGATATTATTTCTTCTTTCAAGTTCAGTTCGGCGCAACTGCAAAAACGAATACATGTACATCTTTTAGTTCTATGGCTAAAATGAGAGTCAGGCATGGTGGATCGATCGAACAAGGACATGTACATGTGAAACGATCAAGGGTCAAAGTTAAAAGAACCACTGCGCAATCGTGACAAAAAACCACAGGCGACGCACGCCGGGCGACGCACGACCCACAACGGGCGACCCACTATGGGCGACCTGCGACGGACGACGCACGACGGGTGAGGGCAGATATGGAATTCCATAATAAGGAGTTTCTGTCAAGTTACCTATATTTGAGGGAAAATGAAACTCACAAGGACATTGTAGATGATCTCGATGGAAAACTTGATAAAGGCATGAACGTCAACAAAGCCTTGAATAGAGTTTTGCCTAAACATGCTGAAAATTTGCCGAACTGTTTCATGACGAAGAGGAGCATGCCTAAAAGATAACAGTCTGTAGAGACAAATGGTTCCAAAAAGAATGAGTACTTGTAATGCCTCTGATTTCAAAGTTAACAAACTTCCAGTAATCACCCTAGTAGTAGTTCTTGAAATTACTAAGATAATTATTGTAAAAAATCAATGATGCACAACGGGGAATAAAACGGTACCAGTACAAACCTACCAAAAACCAATATGTGAAGTCCACTGAATTTGTCCTGTTTTATTTACCGGCATGACTATCGAATAATATCTCTCAGGTCCGATATTGGCCGGAACTTCTGCACAATATTCCACAGCACGACGAATAAATTTATCCCTTTGATCCGTTTTAAAAATCCCCAACTGACGTCATGCTGCCCCCAAGAATTCTTAATTTTATATAATGCTGTATTTTCCATTTAGGTCCCACAATAAAGAACAACAGTAACGCTCCGCTCTGACTGAATTTGTAAAACGTATACATGTACAGGGTATTAAACCGCCGTAAAACATCCTTTGAAAGAATTTTTAAAATTCTGCCAGAGCTCAAACCATATACATTTACAGGGAAACCAACGTCAAACACTCTATTTCAAAGGAGTAAAAATTCGGCTAGGGACAACGGAGTCTTCTTCCCGTATCGATCAAATCTTGGTTGCCATAGTATTAGTAAGCTAAAAGCAAGGCTGTCAGTACGTGGGCACCCTCCCTTCTTTAGTGTCAAAAGGATTAGTCGGACCAACGCTCACTTCCAACGTACACAATGTAAACATTAACACAATAGTCCGCCGACACAGCTCACCCACTATATACAGTCCATTTTCTATGGATATTACTCACAACCCGGTGGCACGTACGGTCCTTTTGTTCAGGGATTATCCCTTCCTACTTCCTCATTACTTTTGGACATCCTGGTGGGCCAGTCAGTATGCCATCACACACGATATGACTCATCCTGTTTCATCATGTGCCATAATTTCATAAGCAAGATCAAATTGTGCCAAACTTTTTTTTAACAAGTGCTATGCTTTACTCCAATTTTATCCTGTACACCAGGATCAACCTGTGCCAGACTTTCTGACCTTAATCCCTTACC